CCAGAGGTTTATAGGGGTTCCTTGAGCTGTGGCCATTTGATCTCCTGCCTAGAAGAATCCTGCATAGTTCCGGCACCAGCGTCCATCAGCAGTGCCGGCACTGTGTGACCAGTTTAGCCGTACTTCTCATCTCTCATGTAATCAACCCCGGGTACCAATAACTTTATTCAGCTGTCTTTAAAGAGACATTCTTCCCTTTAACCACCAATGTAAAGTGCATCCTTCCTACTGACCCCCACTGTAACCTGCCATTCTTTATATTGACCACCAATGCAAGGTGGCCCTTCTGCACTGACCACGGAAGTAAAGTGCCACTACACTGACCACTAATGTAAGAAAGTGTTACTACACTGAACACTATTGTAAGGGGGCACTACATTGACCAACAATTTATGGGGATCCTTACCCAACAACCACAACTGTAACTGGGAACAATACCAACTACTAATGTAATGGGGTACTTTTCCACCATCAATGTAAGGGGGCACTATACTGAACAACAATGTCAGAAGGTGTTTCTCCACTGACCACCAGTGTAGTAGTGTAGAGCCCTTGTTAGGGGATCCTTCTTCCACTGACCATCAATCCAAAAGGAATTCTTCCATTCTTCTTCCATTGACCATCAATGTAAGTGAGCATCTTAATGAATGATACAGCAGTAGTAATCATCTGTTGGAAGTGTGTCTCCCAGATTTGAGCTTCAGTGTCATTGGTCAGAAGTCACCCTTTAGTTTTACAGTTACTACCCTGTCAACTGCCCAGACACGCTCAGTGTTTCCAAGCTCTTGAGAGTGCAACTAATAAAGCTCTCTAGTTAAGAATTATCACAGCAGAGCTGTGAACACTCTTATATACTCTTAGAGGTTGGGACCTCTGACATGTAACCCCCAGGCTCTCAAGCTAAAGTGCAAAAGGTAGGTATAAAGCGCTGGATATTTTTAACTAAATCAGCAGCATCAACATTAAAGCCTGGTGGCTTGGACTCGGCTGGTCACCTACAAAAACAAAGGGCATCCCCGCTGAAAGATTTCTCGATCACCCAGATCCAGAAGTCTAA